AGCTACTTTACAGCACAACGCTGGAAAAGTTGGCTTATAAAGCTGAAAATGTTAGTTGGGACCTTTCTCTGCCCCAAAAAACCCTACATACAAATTTTCACGCCAATCGGTTCAGTAGATTCCGAGTCTATAAGGGTCAGACAGACAGACAGACAGACAGACAGACAGACAGACAGACAGACAGACAGACAGACAGACAGACAGACAATACACTGAACCAATATGACATATTCCTGTTATGTGGAAGTCTTTTAAATTTGCGCTATAAGATAATCAAATGAAAATGATATGATTGAAAATGTGTCAGGTAAATTCTATATGAATATCTGATACATTTACAATGCTGATAATTTGGTTACTTTTATATGATCGTCATATGATAAATGAAAATCGGTCAAATTATAATAATTAACTGAAATGAATTTGAAACCCATAAGCATAAGCTTTATTTTTCACCACAATATAATATATGTGTCATAAATCAATTGAAGTAAAGTTTATGTGAAAATCACATGAAATTTACTTCTTCTTTTGACGCATATATTTAATCGATTTCTAAAAATAAATCGAAAAATAAACATCAGGCAGTGGGAGCTTTCACAGTTGTGTCTTTTTTATTGTAGCTGATTTGGGATTCGATCAAGAACTGTTGAGGTGTGATGCTTTCGGTGTCTGCGCTCGATTCCACTGGGCCACGGCTGACTTCAAGATTGAGCTCGTTCAATTAGCATCAAGTAAGAACAGCTCTCCCGCCATAGAATGTAGTGCAACGTTATGCTCGTTTTGCTAGAGTGAAGAAAAATAGCACTGACAAATTTATGCTCCGTTTCGGTGGTGTCGTGTATTCAAATCTTGCTTAATGCTCCTGTGTGCAATAAAACAACGACTACATTATTTGAGTTCATGGAATCTGCATCAGCCGTGTAGAAGGCTTACAATTAGAATCTTAGCAAATAAATATTGCAGTAGAATCATTTTTTTTCGATCTCAATACATTCTTTTCCGTAACCCCTTATCTTATGAAACAATAACAAACAAGGATTATTCCATACAGTATCATTGTTGTTAGTAATATTTAGTTCGACTAATCATTTTAATGAGTGAATGATAACATCGTTGAAAATAGTTTTAATAATTTATAAAGAGCAATCATGTAAGATGTATTTTATTGGGAGCGATATTCATCCCAGAAAACCATTCCAAAACAAATGTTTGCTGTTGGATTTCTTAAAAGGCAAATCTATATGACTATATAATGATTGGGATAGATCTGTTTACAATCTTCAAACCTCAATAATCAAAGGAAGCTATTGCAATGAGATATACATGTTTTCCTATACTGCAAAGTTAAATGGCAGTTCAATAGTTTGTACATGTCTGTTTACCCGCGACATATCAACAAACGTCAATAATCGTTAAAAGCAACTCCAATAAAATATACATGATTATCTTATAAGATATATCTTTTAGTGAGCAATATTCATCATGAAAACAGGTATATTTTACTGAATTTTCTCATAGTGCAAACTTAAATGATTTTCCATTAGTTTCTAGATGTCTGTTCCCACCCATTACACATCACCAGTTTTTCACCATGAAATATATCATACAATATTCATATACATCTTATCTATTGCTAACCACGCTCGAAGCAAAGTATTATCAAGTACTAAGTATGTGAAATTACGATAGAAATCATTCCATATCGCAGTCATAGTTTTTAAGTGATAATCCAATGGAATCTATCAATCATCACATAGAATGAATAAATCTGCTGACATTGCTATGTTATAAGATGGATCCAATAAACGGTACATGTTGATTTGTTTCAGTGTACAGACAGACAGACAGAAATTCATTTATATATTTATTGCAAATTCATATCAATATCATACAATCAAACAATGCGATTATGTCAAAGAATTTAAGATTATTTTTTTCTGATATTCTGTCAATCGATACTTCCTTAAATCCTTTGAATATCAAGCAAGAGAGAGCTGTATGTATTACAAACTCTTTTACAAGATATTTCACGATCTCATTTTTTAGTCCCAATAATGACATAACCATTGCGAGAAACAACATCAACATCATCAGTTCTGTCAGACTAACCAACTCCTGCCATTTTTTAAAATTAACTATTTCCATAAACCTATTGAGCCTCAATAATTTTCATAATTGGCGCTTTGGTTCTCTGATCAGTTGGCATATCATTTTAAAGCAAAGCTAGTTGGGTTGAATGAACAATCAATACGCAGTGTTTGAGCTTGTTCACGCCCAAGTTCCAGCTACGCAAACTATGCGATTTTCACACCTCTTCACCCTCTCTTAGCTCAGATGATCATGATGCAGCTACAAAGCAAGACCATGCTGGAGGTGGCTGGATTCGATTCCCGGTCCGGTCTATGAATTTTTCGGGTTGGAAAATGTCTCGGGGGGCATAGAGTAATATTGGACTTACCACACGGGAGCGGGACATTTCACCGAACCATTTTCTACGGGTTTGAACTTTTTTCTAAGCTCAGTAAATTTTGAAAGCAGTGTCGACAAAAGACTAAGAAGGTTCGATTTTTTCAACCTGGCAAGCTTCCTTCTTTTGAACATGAGCAGTTCTTTCGAGTTGTAATGATTTCAGAAATTTTAAAATAATATATAAATATTTTGATGCATAGGAATGCTTCCTTCTTTTAAACATGAGCAGTTCTTTCGAGTTGTTTTACATGGGAATATCTATTATTTAAATGCACTCCAAATTCATTTTAATTGTATGTTGATTCATGTTCATGTTGAAAATTTGACGAAATGGCCCATTCAGCGAAATTACCCATTCGGCGAAATGTTTTCCGACGAAACATCCTTCAGCGAAATGTCACAGCCCCTTGCCATACAATTATACTTATGTAAAAATGGTACAGGCATATAAAGCTCTCAGTTAATAACTGTGGAAGTGCATCTAGAACACAAAGTTGAGAGCACACAATAAGCTAAGATGCGATAAGCAATAAAATTGAAATGCGAGGAAGAAGAAGAAGTATTCTTCACATTAACGAAAATCACCAACAATTTGTGCTTTTGATTTATATGCTTTTTTATTACTCAAATGAAGCGTATTTTATAGCATTTTTCCTATGCCATTTTAGCATTTTTAAGCCATTTCGATAATTTGTATCCTTTTTGCCATTCTAGCTCATGTTGACGTTTCTTTAGTCCTTCCTACTCTTTTAATATTCATTGTGATGTGCCCAAGATATTTTTAATTTTCAAATTTTTTCGTGCCATCCATTGTCGGCAATCGAATGTGCTGGAAGACAGCTTCCACACCTTTCCACCAGCCGGGACCTTTATTACTTTTTATGTCTTAGAAAATTTCCACCAACCTCGGCACCATTGGGGTGAGAAAGCAGTCATGCTTACCACACACCACCGTCACCGGCTTTTATTTTTTTGTTGCTGGCATTTTATGACAGATTTATAATGTAACTGTAATTTTTGTAATTATGGCATTTTGGAAGCTATGTTGGAATATCATAGCCTTAGGATCATATTGGTTTGATCATGATTGTTTCAATGGTTTATGTCTAATTATGGCTTCTTTTAGCTTTTTTACGTTTATGGGGCCATGTATCAAAAGTCAGTTTGGAAATATCAAGCATATTCTGGGGGTTGGATGTTTTTAGACACTGACATATAGCTAGCCTATATGGGGCCTCCCTTAGCTCAGTCGGTAAAGGCGCAGCTCAAAGCAAGACCATGCTAGAGGTGGCTTGGGTTCGATTCCCTGTCCGGTCTACGAATTTTTCTGATCGGAAAATGTGTCGACTTCCCTGGGCTAGAGTATGATTATACTTGCCACACAATTATACTAATATATATTCATAAGTCGTACTAGTGGAATGCGTTAATTATGCCCATGGAATTCGTAAGTGTCTTATGAAGTTAAAATTTGCTAGGTTAATAAGTCATGCCTCAGTGTTCACTCGGCTGTCGACAAAAGCAGGCCACTCTCGATGTGTGCTACGCGATCGTCTGTTTTCTCGGCAGCAACCATTGTGTGCTCCTCCTCATTGTTCTTCATCAGCAGTTCTTTCGGTCGATGCGTCGTCGACTTTGCAAAGCAACCGTTGCGTGATGAGTGTGTGAGAGCTGACCACGTTTTGCGTCCATTGCTGCAATGGACGCGCTCTGACCCTCGTTGGCGTACAACAATTTGCCATACAATGAAACTACTCGAAGCGGCTCCAGTTCTGATGGAGGAGGCTTTTTGGATAGCGGAAGATAAAGTGTTTATTGTGTTGTACCTTTTGACTATAGTTTTAAGATGTATTGTATAGTGACCAAAAATCCTCGGCTCTGTAAAGTTAATTCGGTTGAGCCTTATCAAATAAATTAATAAACAAAAAGTCATGCCTAATGGAATTCTTAAGTTTGTTTTTCCTTTGTTGGGGTAATTGGCGAGTATCTACGGTCCATACTGAATTTTCCACTCAAATGGAACTGAATAGTAATTTATAAACGTCTCTTCATACAATATCGCGTATGGGCTTTATATTTAATATTGGAAATCAAGATGCTCCGTTTAATCCCAAGAATGTGTTTTGGAAGTTTGGAAAAAGTCAGTTTAGGCCATTCCATTGTGATGAGGAGTCCGTATTATTATAGTAACACCACTATTCCCAACAAGTTATAACAATTTTGGTTTTGTGAGGGTTCTATAGAGCATGATATAAACTTGTAGAATGCTTTAGAGCCTCGCTAAAACTTGCAATGATACTTAGGCTATGCACTAGGATTTAGCTACATGTATTCTTTCGTTTCCGTAAGCTTTTAAAACTGTTCCCACTTGCCTTCAGTTGTGTTATAAAATTTTATTTAAACAAAAAAAAAACTAAACTAAATTTGTAACGAAAACTATAAATATAATCACATGGAAATCAATATCACATAGCGACACACTTTCGAAACCGACTGCTCGGTATCGCATCGAACTTGTAGATACTCACTTGCTGCATCTTATCGAAATCTAAACATGGCCGGTGCGGTCGAGGCGCCCTCTGCTGCTGGTGGCGGGACTGCCTCCGCCGGGGTGACACCGCACAGTGGAACACCTTCGCCGGGGGACTAACCGAGCGACTAATTTCCATATTGGCTACAGCTATGGCGGCACCACCACCACCACCGCCACCACCTGACTCCTGGCCACCGCCTACGAATGGCATTCCCACTGGTCCTCCCGGGCCTGAGCTGGCACCCGTGGGAGTATTTGTTGTACTTAACAGTGCTAGATTGTTACTATTCTGCGATTGATGTTGATGGGGATGATGATGATGATGTTGATGATGCTGCTGATGGTTGCTGATGCCGGACGTCACCGCCGGACTATCACAGGTGGGCAAGCCTCCGATGCCCCCGTAGACAGTGCCAGCAGCGGTGGCTCCTCCCAGGGACGAGAGCGAAGACGTCGTCGACGAGATCGACGAGGACGATGATATTCTAATGTGCTCCAGACCGCGACCACTTTCCGTCAGGATGAGTGGTGTGGTCGAACGCTGGATTATATGGCCACGATGTGGTTTTAAAGCTTCTAGAGGTGGCGACGTGCGGAAATTTACCGGCGCCGACATCAATGGCTGATGATGGTGATGATGATGATGATGCTGCTGCTGATGCTGATTTTCGAGCAGATGACGAACCTGTAGTGAGAAGAGAACCATCCTTAGTTTCATTTTCTAGCATTAAATTGTGAACCAACTTTGCAAAACCAAACAGCTATTCAAATCACTACCCAAAAAGCTTACCTCCTCATCCGAGCTGTGCGCTAGAGATCGTTTACGCTTCTCGAGTAGATTATTCGAACTACATCGCTTGTTGGCACCCAGCTGGTTGGGCGTGATCGCCAATGGCCGAAGCGTACCAGCCACCGGGGACGTTGCCAGGCACAACTCCTCTGTGCAGTCATCAATCTCGTCACTGGCATTGTTATAACCCACTTCTGCCAACGCTTGGTGACCTGCCGTGAGTCGATTGAAGTTTTCACTGCTCTCTAGGTCGATACTGCTGGCACAGTCGGTACCACCCCCACCACCGTCTCCACCACCATCACCGTCGGTTTCACTGCCACCCACCTCGAGGATACCGCCGTTGATCACTTCTAGCTCTTCTTCGGAACTGTTCTGATCGTACATCAGCAAGTGTGAGGCTGCACCTAGGAATGCCGGTGATTCCGACGAGCATGCAGTATCCGTCGGAGATGCCGTGTCTTGACGGGAGCTCAAGCCTGCAAACAAAACGGAGAAAGAGAAAATCATCCATCAGTAAATCGGTTTCACACTTAACGCATCGGTGACGAACGTACGGCTATCCGGTGAATCGGAAATTGATAGCGACAGGAATGAAAGCGAGACACTATTTGGCAGAAGGCAGTCACACATTCTGCCGGCACGTTTCTTTGCACAGCTGATGCAATTTGCAAAACCTCAGCGCCGAGTGCTTGAATCTTGAAATCTAAACCGCGTCAAGCTTCCAAAAGGGTTTCAGACCTACTGACGCCCGCAGGAACATATGATCCCTCTTTTATAGCTTCCGAACGGTTTGCATGTGCTAGTGCTAACAGCAGACCGAATTCAGCTATCAGCCGCACTCGATTCACTCACAGTGCTCACAAAGTCAACCGGCATCGTGTTTTGTTTTGTCGATTATATGACTCCAAATGTGGTTGTTTAGTATTTGATAGCAAATTTTACCGGTGTTCAAATTGTGTGTGATGGTATGGCAGTATCGTGCAGCTGATCTGGGTGGTTTCAATTTCACCGTGGCTCCAACTGAGAATGAAACAAACACATGTTTTTGAACTTAATCATTGTCATCCTTATCACGTATCGGTACGGTGTAGGAAGGATGGAACATGTCAATCAAATCGGTATCAGTAATTCAAATTTCAATCTATTCTCATTTGGTGGGCAATAACATTCAATTTCTTACATGAACCGGCTCCACACTACGGTGCAGTGGAAAATTCAGAGTCCACTCAAGAGCAAGTTCAGTTTCCACACCACTAGAATCGGTGCACGTATACAAGAGTGCCATTACATTCTATAAGGAATAACCCCCCACACTCGAAAATCCATGCGTAGTGCTTAGCTCTGAGAGAATGTGTCACTCGCCGCTTGTCCAACTAGAGGGGTAAATGGGGTATAACACCCTTAATCAAGCTCATCTGTTATTTTCACAATAGAAAAGTTGGAAGTCGTCCAGCCTACAACTTGTACATACACATTTTGAATGGAAAATTTACTTGTGGAGAGATCCCACTCCGAAATACACATCAAGTGTGTGTGTGCCAAATGGATGGTATGTGTGGTGACATATGGCATTAATGTGCACACGCACATCCGAGGTTGCTCAAAAATGAGTTTGAGATACTCATTTTCATATCTACTTTTGAAATTTCCACGCATGAGTAGCTGGGATTTATGAATTTGAGTTACATTAACTAAACTATAAATACATAAACAAAAGCGTATCTCATTTTGGAGTTTTCGGCCCATTGTTCAATTCAACTTTGTTTTTAAGTAAGTAAATGCTATTCCACAAACGTTTTGAAAAACATTTGTGCTAGAGCTTAAAGTTTACTCTGATCCACGTACAATTTGTGTAGTCAAATTGCTATGGTGATAAATCTCCCATGCAAGAAAATAGATGTTATATCTTTTCACATTTTTTCAGAGCTTATTCTAGTGGAGGATGTTTCGGTCACCACAATAGAAAGAAAATAGAGGGACAATGGGGGAGTTCCCGAGAAAGTGAGCGTAGACAGTGGGAGGTCAGCTACAGCCGGTCAGGAGAAGTCGATCCGGATCGGGAACGGCTCTATCTGGGACAAGAGCAGAGCAGGTAATACGATGATGCTGCTTAAGTTGTGAGTTAATATTTTTTTCGAATTCCAGGCAGAACTTCGTTGAAGCTGGTAAAACACCGAAAAAGGCCAAACCATTGAAATAGTGATCTAACCAATCATAGCCTGCCTGAAGGATTACGCTTATCACTACAATTATTATTATAGGGTATAATCTTACCTAATCAACCCAACCCAAGCTAATACTCCGTACCAGATACAGACAATTGCATAAAAAATTGAACTCCCACTACAAACAATCAACATGTTCCTGACCAGGTTAGTCTCATCCTATCATTACGTATTGAACTTAACACTTTCTGCCTAAAATTCACTTGTTAGCAAACATATGATCAAAGATACAAGTAAATAGTAATGTATTGGTTAAAATAATACCTTCGACTGTTGCCTTTAATTAAAATAAACCAAGTGGAGAGATTTATTCTACATATGTAAGGCCTAGCTATCTTCCTATATGGACGCCTTGCATCCTATTCTTCCCACAAAATTAGCCTAAAAGTAAAAATATCTACCTCCTGATTATGCTACCTTTATACATTGACCTGCAAAATTAATCTTGTCTTCGACCGTATTAAGTAACACTAAAAATAAAATGCTTCATTCATCTTATTGCAATCAAAAATATATGCTGCACACATGAATGAATCAATTATCAGTGGAGGTGGAGACGCTTGATCTATTTCATCTTTGGTTCATTTGACCAACCTCAACCTTTCTGGAGATGACAAGTTTATCAATCACAATACAAATTTTGTTTTACTTTAACATTTCACGAAAATCCGTTTAGCTACAGGGGGCGTTTTGTAGCATATACCCCTACACTACTTTGAGAGGCATCTACTAATGAATGACAACACGAAGCTGCACGATGTGGCGTGTACTACACCTACTGTTGTTGCCTTTACAAAGAGGTACCGTTGTTTGCGGATGGAGTTTTAGCTGGTATTATTTTTGTGAATTCTTTGATATCTGTGTTTTGGTAATAAAGATACCATTTGTGGGCTCAGGCAGCTGGCCATTCGGAAAAACGGAATACCAATAAAGATTCCCTCCACAAACGACGATACCTCTCTGTATCAAGGAATCAAACAAATAATACCAGCTATAACTCCACCCGCAAACTATGGTTCCTCTCTGTACCTCACTTACACACACATAAAGAGACAAAGAGTGAGATTCTAGCACGCTAGCATAGCTAGCGTGTTACAATGTAAAATGAAAACTACAAACGAACGGGCATTACTTTGTTGTCGTTTGACGCAAGCGAAACCGGGACGCCGCGAGGTGGGACTCACAAATGGTGAATATGAAAAGTAAGAATATTTGAAGCGTAGGCACTGTTGTATTATTTGTTTCTTAGATAATTTCAAGTATTGAAAAAAAATAAACCTTAGGTTTTTCAATCCAGATAATGAAAATTTTCAGCAATCACGCCACCTATATTCGAGATGAATTTTCAGTAGATTTAATTCAAGATCAAACATTTTACTAACAGAACGAATTAAGCTGTCTTTAATTTCTATGTTGATACGAGGACAGAACGACCCAACAACACTTGTAATCGGTAAGGGACATGCGACATAGGAGCCTTATTTTAACCGTAAATCAGTTGAGCCACTTCGCATAATTCTAGCACTTTTGCATCCAGTGCTGTCATGCTAAATTTAGACCTGGTTACTCAATGATTTTCTATATATGCGCCCCTTCGGAATGTATATACAATTTAGTACCCTCTAAGTGAAACTAGGGAACGGGTAAACTTGTCTGCCATCAGCTAACCATAACATTTAAAAACAATAGGATGTCAGCTTCTTAGCTTAACGGGGGATTGAAAAACTGCCCTCTTGGCTAGACGCGATCTGGAGTTTATGAAACTCATATATGTTTACTTTAAGGATATTAACCTTAGATTGTAAGTTTGATTAACCTTGTGTTTAGTTTGTATTTTGTACGTGTGGGATTTTTTTTTTTTCAATGTTTGTTTTCAAGATAAATAGAAATAATTTCATGCTTTAGGATTAATTAAATAGTTGTATCGTAAACCACATTTCAAACCTCCTTCTTCCCTTTTCCCATCCAAAAAATTGTAAATCTCCACTAACCTCGAGACAACCGCGAATACTCGGTCCAGTTCCTTTAACTTTAAATTTAAGACAGTAATAATGTATAACGCAAGAGATAACTCGGCTCCGTAAAGTTTATTCGATTGAGCCTGTACAAATAAAATAATTATAAAAAAAAAACTGCCCTAAAAATCTCTTAACATCCCGACGTTTTCTGCAGATCCGTGAATTTCTCGTAACTTCCATACGTGTGTGTGTGTGTTTGGAACTTCTTTAACGGCTTTCCCCCCCCCCCCCCCCCTCCTTCCCCGAAGGAAGTCGTGATCAGAGATGTTATGCCTCAGAACAGAACATCCCGGCGACGCCGACTGGGATTGAACCCAGGCCTGCTGGGGTGAGAGGTAATCACGCTTACCACTACACCACTGGCGCCGCTTAAGCTCTTTGATCTTAATTTTCGGTAGTTTCCAGAAACCTATGGAAGCTTGAAAATTTTTATGAAATTCTCAGAACTTCTGGAAGGTTCCCGAAATTTTTTGGATGTAAATGGAACTAACATAAACTTATCAAAATTAGCCAAAAGATTTCAGAGCTCCATTCTGACGTTCATGGGACTCTCAACTTATTTGAATTTACCTGAAATTTGGAAGGCTTGGAACATCTGTAAAGTAGCTGTAATTAATCTGAAGTTAATCGAACGAATCTGAAGTTCTCAAAATTTCCTCCAGTTTCCCAAATTTTCCGGACATTCACATAACTACTCTGAAATCCTCAGAACTTTTCCGAAGCTCTCTAAATATCCCTAAAGTTATTTAAACGTACCTCAATCCTGCAGAAGTTTCTTGAAGTTGTTGTGAAGTTCATGAGATTTTCTGAAATTAATTGAGTGCTTTGATCAACCCTGGAGCTCCCGCTATTAAATTAAATTTTCGAAACTTCGTTGAAGCTCGTGGAACTTTCTAATAAAATTTCTAAACTTTTCTGAAGTTCCTTAAATTTTCAATCATTTCTCTGAACTTCTCTACACCCAACCGGTGGATGTAAGATTCGCTTACAATTATGTGGGATTCATCATCAGAGGATGTAAGTGGAGACCGCATGAACCGAGGATGCGATATACCTAGCTGCGGTCCAATGCAAGAAAATTGGAGACAGAAAAATGTAGAGTGTATTAGTGAGGTATATTTATTATGTCGAAAAAAAAATAGGAAAAAGGTTGCCGACTGGACTCGAACCACGAACGTTGCGATTATCAGACCTGTGCTTTCTCCACTGCTCTCTCCATGCTTCTGAATAAGG